TGTAAAACGGTCACCAGGCAATATTATCGTTTATCGCAATAAATTTTGAGACAATTAATCGCCCAGCAAAATTTGTTATCGTGACAGGCCTAGGTGACTCAAGACTTCTATGTAACACTTTCCATATTTGCTTATCTCTATATGGATGTTTCTCTGCCCACCTGCAGCTGAGAGGGTGACCAAGGAGAATGCGTCAGATGTCGGACTTGGGAGCTGTGTCGCCCGAGACCTCTATGGATGCTGCAGCACTCATCGCAGATCAACACACCCCTGTTAACAGAGGCCCACCTTGGCTCTGCAACATACACAGTTTGTTAAAAACTAGTAGCTTATAATACACGAATCACAGCGATGCACATAGCTTTAATACAGGCGTTTCTCATAAAGCCAGAGATATTTGCTAACAGTAACAGGTTTTTCCGTCTTAAACTTGCTCTAGAAAGAGACACTTGTTCGACATTACTTATAAGACAAGTACAACTGTAAGATAATTGCTAACGAGCTGTCTCCGCTGGGTAATGTTCGCTTAGCTAACCGGACATAGAAAAAAGTTGAAGTAACTGCTAGCTTGTTAGCTCGGATGCTAACGATAACGCTAGCTTGTTTGTCATCGTACCAGGAGCGCTGCAATCAGCGCAGACCTCTCTGCTTCGCACTCGCTTTGACATTCCGTGATTCAAATCCTCCACGTCCAGAGAGAGCCAATGTTTTTAAAGGGTATAACACAACTAATCCGCCCTGATAGACCGCTTTCTACCAGGCAAAGAAGCTGTCTGTCCGTCCACTAAACCCTCCTCCCTCCTTCTGTTGATGAACAAAAGCAGCGACGTCTCGTTCCAGTTTTCACTCAGCTTCCTTTACACTTCCTCGTCTGCTCGTTTCCTTGTTTCCTTCGATCTTTAACTTGTCATACAAATGTCTTATGCTGCAACAAGTAAGGAGTTTGTATGACAAGATAAAAGATCGTGATAAAAAGTTAGTTGACCCATTTAATGCTATATTTGGTGTTTCAAGACAAAACTCTCTGGTCCTGACTAAAGGCATAAGTAGAATTCAGTAACCTCATCCTGACTGCTTTTACATGGCCAGGCTCAGATAAGCAACTAGATTGTATTAACCTAAATAATTTTGGGTCAAATTATATTGGCAGGTCTAACATCAGCAACAGTCTTTATAGTCACATTAGCTGTCACTAAGACTGTCTATACCAAGCCCTTTAATTGCAAAAATATCAATGGTTGGAATATATATCTATTTTAAATCCAGTTTGTAGGTAGATGAAGCATTGTCCTTGAGGACCACTGGTAGGCTACAATGGTTCTCTACTTTACACCACTTTTAATATGTTTGTTTACCAGAAGTCTGTAGGACTCAAAGTCATGCTGAAGAGCGGAGAAAACTCCAGCTCAAAGACTTGTATGCAAGAGGTGGTAAAAGGATCAATTTAATTGATTTTTTGATTGAGAACAGGCATGGCAGCGATCTGGCCTGGGTGTAACTACTGTTCAGCCTACACCAACAAAACCTAACACAAAAGGTTTGTGTTTTGTTGTCCGCGGCTGTAGGGGAGTCTTCCTGGAACAAGAAGGTCACTGGTTCAATCCCCCATCCAGCCGTCTCAGTCGTTGTGTCCTTGGGCAAGACACTTCACCCACCTTGCCTACTGATGGTGGTCAGAGGGTCCGGTGGCACCGGTGCATGGCAGCCTCGCTTCTGTCAGTGCACCCCAGGGCAGCTGTGGCTACAGTGTAGTTTGCCATCATCAGTGTGTGAATGTGAGTGTGAATGGGTGAATATCTGTTAGTGTGAAGCGTTTTGGGGTCCGGAGGGACTTGAAAAGCGCTCTATATGTTCAGTACCATTTACCAAAATGTAGAATCTACGCAACAGTGGGAAAACTGAAGCTCTAATTCAAATTAATCCCAACTGTGTGACTTTCAGTCTGTCCTATTTACAAGATCACTTCAGATTATTGAGGTTAGCGGTTCTTCAGCTTTCACAAGGTTCCATCCACCACAACATTTCAGCTGGGTTGAGGTCTGGGTCAGTTGCAACAATTTCTTTTTCAGCCACTCTGCTATAACTGATGTGGGATCATTTTTGTGCTGTTGCATGATAGAGGAGAAATTCATGGTTCAACTCTGCTGTCATTGCCAAGAATGTCAGCTGCTTTGCCAAACAGCACTAAAGCATTATGGCCAACTGAAGTCTCATTCGTCTAAAGAACGTGGTTTGAAAAGCCGTGCTTATTGTTTTGACGCAGAACTAAGTCAAGTTGACGTGCGCTTTTATACAGCCTGACTTGTTAATCCTATTTATTAAAAAAATCATGCAATAAAGTTAGACTCTAGTTTATGTATTACTTAATTTATTTCACTAATCAGTTAATTGAAGCTTGTCTTTGTCTTTCTAAAATTCATATTCATAGTTGAAATAAGTGGTTATAGCTGTTGCCTCTCAGTAGGAAGTTGCAGGATAGCCTCTTGGCCTGCCTTTCTGGGTGGAGTTTGCATGTTCTTCCAGTGCATGCGTGGGTTTTATCCAATTTCTACAGTTTCCTCTCACGGACCAAAAACATGCATATTGGGGTTATTGGTAACTAAATTATTAGGTGTGAGAGAGTGTGAATGCTGTCTCTCTTTGTGGCCTTGTAATGAACTCACGACTTGTCAAGGTGCCCCACCCTTACAGTGACTGCTGATGATAGGCACTAGTTACTAGGGGTGTCCCGATCCGATATCAATATCGGATATCGGTCCGATATCAGCCAAAAAACGAGTAT